TAAATTGATTTAGCGAGAAAGTCAACTCTTGCCTTATAGACACCCCGTTAAAACAGATTCCTCAATATTGCAGACAGTAAAATACTGAATCCCTGGCGAAAAATAGAGAGAAATGACTGAAAATAACTCTTGTTACTACAGACTTTCGTTGCTGTGGACACAAAATTATGATCCCGAGGGTGTCCGTAATAGGGAGAGTTGACTGTTAACTGGGATATTTGTCTTTTTCATGTCCAATCCCAAAATGCTTTCTTTTTCTTAATGAAACTGCAGAATACGAGTTAGTCCAGTCCCAGCCCCTTTTCGGTCCGCTCGGTTAACGGGCCTCTCGCGGGGAAAAGGGTCCAGAAGAACTTGCATGCGCATGCGCCGCCATACACCGCATATATACGGTGTGACCCGGTCGCTAAGCTCAGAGAAAACTCAAGAAAACTGTCATGGCGTCTAACGAATGGAATAGCGAGTCTTTGAACAACACATACGAGTCGAAATTCGGTTCTGTTTTCGTTGAAGCAGTCAGTCATGCCATACGATCATCCAAATACAACTTGATACCGAAGATTGAACAAATGGAGGCGATGTTTCAGCTCTCAAAGGGCAATGATGTATTCGTTAAATTGAGTACTGGATTTGGAAAGTCACTGATCTACAGCTTATTTCCTTTTATTTGCGATTTCTTTCGTGGAGGGGATAAATCCATAGTAGTCTTGATTTCCCCTCTCATCTCACTGATGGAGGATCAAATAAAATCTTTGAAAGATAACGGAATTCCTGCTGCGAAATTGAGCGATGCGTTGGACTTCGARAGGTACAAAATATTGTTACTTTCACCGGAAAGTTTCGAATCCAAAGAGGTAAAGGACAAGTTAAAGAAAATAAAAGAAAATGTCGTCTGTGTTGCCGTGGATGAGGCGCACTGCATCGAACAATGGTAAGCTTGTACCTTTTTAATACTATAAGSTTACATGTATGCTATTGTTTTCATTCTTAGYTTGACAAAATTTGCATTAGTCACATCTATTTGGAATTAAGTATGTATTTCCTCTGTAAAATTTGTCTCTGATTATTAATTATTACATAGGTTATGAATTGTAAATTTGTAACATAGTATATAATTTATAGTAACCACATGTAAAAAAGTTAGTTACAGTATAAGCTAACAATTTTGTTTGCAGGGGAAGAGACTTTCGTGGTGCCTATAACCAGCTAAATGAGGTCCGAGCCCTCCTGCTACCCAAGGTCCCTATGATTGCATTAACAGCCACAGCTAATGCAAGAGTTATGCAATACATCATTAACAAATTAGATATGGAAGGTTGCCAAGTGGTCAAATCATCGTCAAATAGAGCAAACATTTTCTATGAAGTGCAACAACTACATGTAAAGAAATATGATGATTATGATAACTTACTGGAAGAGTGTTTTGGCCGTGTTATTGACCGTATACTTCAAGATGAGGCTAATGCTGAAAAAACTTTGATATTCTGCAAATCTACAAATGACTGTGCAACRGTGTTTGAATATTTTGAATGCCGTCTCGGACAGAACATCAAAGTAAACAATGAACTGTGTGTAAATATGTATGTAAAAATAACTGATRAGGAGACAAAGAAAAATATTGTACACAGCATTACTAATTCTGAAGGATCACTACGTGTTGTAATTTGCTCATCTGCTTTTGGCATGGGTGTGGACTGTCCAGATGTTAGAGAAATAATACATTTCTTTTCTCCATCTTCATTAATGCAATATTGTCAAGAATCTGGTCGAGCTGGAAGAGATGGTCAACCATCAAAAGCAACTCTGTTATTCTCTGGGCGTGAATTTGGACATTATAAAGCTCAGTTAACAAAGTCATCTGCCTCGCGAGTTCAGTTTAACGAGCTTGAAATTATGAAAGATTACTGTCAAAATGAAACAATGTGTAGAAGATTTGTGCTCCTTAAGTATTTGGATAGTGTGGCAGAAGCCAAGAAGTCCTGTAATTCAGTCAAGCATCAGTGTTGTGACATTTGTGCTATTACTTGTAAATGTTTGTCATGTGCATGTAGTACCTTGACTTTACAAGCTGGAATTTCTGAGTATGAACATGTAGCTTTGAATGAAGCTGATGCAACAGCAGATACTTTGCAAGTACGCTTTTCTGATGAGAACAAAGATKTTATTGTCAAAAGCCTTCATAAATACCAACAATCACTTGGAAGTAATTCAACAGACAGTATTTTTAGTAGAGATAGCACAACAGGATTTACTGATGTGGTCATTGACCAAGTTATACAACATTGTGAACAATTATTTACTGTAGAAGATGTTTATAAATATGTTGATGTATGGTTTGAGGAGCATGCCATGGCCATCTTAGATGTTTTAAGCAAGTGTAGTGTCACATAACAAGTCAAGAATCAGTGTACATTAGAGGAAATTTACTGCCAAACCTATGAAAGTAAGCCCTTGATAGTTTCTCAACATTCCATTGTGGGATGACTTCACAATTGACTATTATTTTTAATTAGTATAATTTTTTAACTTTTCATTTTTATTTTCAGGATGGGAAGGCCTTCTGAGGCTTATGCATATAGGACTATAAGTTAGTGTGAAGTNCTGTGTTGACAAATCTTCCCCATTTTAGTTTATGTGCCATCCGTTCTGACAAAAGAGAGTTTATTAATGCTAAATACCGAAAAGCCTCATAGGCGTATTTGTTTCTGCTTCCTTTTGTTTTAGTTCTTGCTTTAAAAACAAGCAGAAGAACCTTCCAGACCAGTTCTTCTCTATCGCCATCTCCTTCCTTTATGGCATCATTAAATTCTTCATAAAGTAAACCAAGAGAAAGCACAGAGCATGCATAGTTAAAAACAAAGTCATTTTTTTCTTCATGTTTAATTTCTTTTTTAGATGTAATGSCAGATGTGCTATTCAACCATGGGAGGTATGGGCTCTTCTTTTCATCTCTTGGTGTCGTTGTATCAGCATTGACTTGGACTGGTTGAGTTTGAGGTTGATCTATATAAAATAAATTATTATTAAAAGATAATAATTATTTCAATAACTAGTCAATTAATTAGTTATGAAATTTAATCTGCATACCCTATTCATTCGATTAGATTAAAGTGTCTCAAAGTTATGTATAGCTAGCTGTTCATGGTACTAAAATACAAGAAAGTTTCTGCTTTTGATGTTTGCATAAAATAGCATTTACTATTAAGTAAATATGTAATACTGATGAAAAATGTGCATGTCTGTTCAAATTTATAGTAGCAATTATTACCAAGTTATATTTTTAATTTATACTTTCAATGTATAAGTCAAGACTTCTAATTTTTCCATGTTGAATTTGGAATCAACATTCACATTATKTAAAAAAATCATCAGTCATAATACCTTCCTGTATATCTTGATTGTCTTCTTGTGAATTTTGATGTAGCTTTAAACCATCCATCGCATATAATTCAATTATGTTGGATGCACTTGTATACAACCATTCCTTTTTTTCTTTAGATTTGGACTGTGGAGATGGTGGCTGATGTAGCTTTGGGGAGTCATCAAGTTTTTCCATACCAAAATATTTCAGGGCTGCAGCAATACAGTGGGCCTTTATGACATCTTGAAAAAAGTCAGCTGTCTAGCATAACATGACATTATCAATATGAGAAAATACTGTCATTTTAATTTAATATTTGATACCCTATTTTGCGCTTACATGTAGTACCTCATTCATTTGATGCTTGACATCCCCAGTCACATTTGTTCTGTGAATGCTGCATCGGAGTTGGAATAAAGTTCCAATATCCTGACCTGATTTTTCACTCCAGAGATGAGAAAAAATTACCTGTTAATAAATTAATGAATAATCTATCATATATAAGGCCCAGATATTGTATAGAAATATTGAGAAATATTTGAATGAATGATTAATGATAAATGAAAAAGAACTAAAAAAAAAAAGATTTCAAAAGCACCTCCCTTATGCTTGACCATTTTGCCATAATGTATTCATTCCTCTATGTTTAATGATTTTTATAAAAATATATCTTGAGCACACAAATAGGTAAATCCCATATGTACATTGATACATCTTCATACAAAGCATTAGTTATATATTTACTTAATATTTAAAATTCAACTCCTTTATATTTTAGTTTCCTGGATGTTAATGTTATGTTMATTGAGATCCCTTACTTACTATGAGTAATGTCATCATGGTATGCCAAGATTCAGTGGATGGTAAGACACATGACAGTTGTTGTTTTTTTGTTTCTGCTGTTTTTCTTAGTCTTTGGACTCCAGTAGTKCGCTCAACTGTTAGCTGATCTCCTCCAAATATTGCTTGTTCTTTCTCATCAGATGCATAAGTGTGAATGAATTCCAGTATTTCAGCCATTCCTTCAGAACTTGATTCTCCAGCAAACACTAGTCCTAGGTTGACAACTTCACTTTTTGTGCTCATTTCCTTAGTATACTTGTGTGTAATGTGTTTTGGTACAAACTTTTTATATGGCTCAAGAAAAGGTATCTTGTCAGTAATATTGCGAAGTAGTAGTACTATCATGTTCTTATTCATGGCTTGTACATCAGATGCAGATAAAAGAAATGTTGACAATGGAAGTTCCTTGATTGGGCAGATAGGTTTGTCATGAGGAAGATGGCTTGATGTCACTCGTTCTTTGACAGCCAAATTAAGAAACCAGTGGTAGTCAGAGTTGCTGTTGCTCACCCTTTGGTCTCTTGCTTTAATTTTTCCATCTAGGTTATCTCCTAAGTATTTGATTTCAGATGGGGTTTCTTGAAGCCATAGTTTTATAAGGGCANTAATTCACCTGTAGCTACTAGTAGCTTGTGCTCTCTTAGTTTTATGCTATTTGTGACTTCAAAAATAAGAGCACATGACCAAACTTATTTATCATTAGCAGTGAACCAGAACATAACATTATATATGTTATATACATTGAATACAAAAGAGAAAATGACAAATAACTTTGTAAAATTCACTTTATTACATCAAAGTTGGTATAAATGTCCCTATAGTGAATCCAATRTTGCTCTAATTCAATGCTATAGTCACAATAAATATCAGCTGAACAGTCATAGCTAACTGTGATCTCATTAAACTTGTTCATTAATTATGACTTGCCTTCTAATAAATTCATTATAATTACCTGTTTTGTCAATCCTCCTTTTAATAAGATTGTGGACATTAAAAGCTGGCCAACACTCATATTTTGATTCCTTGATTTCAAAAGTATACACAGTGCCAATCCAGCTGATTGTAATTTTTTGTCTTTGGTTTTGTATACATTTCTCTCACTATTTTTTACATTGAGTATTACTTCAATGATTTGAAACAATGTCTTGGCCTTTTGTTGAAGCTCATCCATGAATTTGCTGAATGAGAATTCTGTAAGTTCTTGCACAGATTTTTTTCTTAGTAAAGAATCTTGACAACATAATGCTTGACATTCCTCTTCAATAGTCTCAACAGTTGTAGTTATGCACATGCTCTTCATTGCACTTTGATTTTTGACACCTTTACATACTTCATCTCCATTGTCATTAATAATAGCTTTACAGAGCTCATTCCACCTGGGATTAATYGAAAATGGTCTCATWCCTTGCGGGGAGTAGCAAACTATCTGATAGCTGGTATTTTGAAATACACTGCTAATTGTGGAAGAAAGAAAAACAGTTTGATTTATCTCAGTAGGTTGATTAAGTTGACACGAAGAAAGAGGAGTAGAAGTTGCGTCGAGCGAGCTATCCAGTAGCTCAAAGTCGGATTTACTTTGCTGAGCTACTAATACCTACAAAGTAGTGGTAAATAGAGTAGAATTAGCGATAATCGTGGTTTCATTAGGGTTAGGGTTAGGGTTAGTCGTTGTAACTTTTTCTCTGTGAAAGTATTAAAAAAGCTGATGCGACTGGACTACTTTGTTTTGTCACCGTTTTTATTTTCAACATTTATAAACTAGTGAAGGTGAAACCTTTATTAAAAATCAGTGGTAAAGATATTATAAACACGTCGTTATTTGTACCTGGTTTCCGAATAGATTTCGTGAAGTTGCTGTCTTTGCAAGTTTTCTTGGCGGGGATGACGTTRTACATTTTCTAGGAGACGAAGTTTGGCTTTTAGGTGTGGAGACAAACTTCCTCTTATCTTTTGACGAAAGCGTAACTGGGGRTTCTGACATTTTAAGTCTTTTTAGTGCCCTAGCGGCTTTTTCTTGGCAGTTTCGACAGATATATCGCGATAGTTCAGGCTTGTCTCTTCGTATCGTTATCTTATAGGCATCAAAAAAAAGTATTGCAGTCTTGGTATAGTCCCCCTGGGCATTATATAAAAGAAATCTCCTTGCAGGAAGGCATATTTTGCTACAAACCCGACATTTTTCCTCATTTGCAGTTGCCATTTTGACACCTTAATAATTTAAACAATAATAAGTTTTCCCCGAGTATAAACTCGTTTGTTATTGGTTGATGCTGGCGCATGCGCATGCAAGTTCTTCTGGACCCTTTTTCTCCGCGACGAGCCGTTCAACGGAGCGGGTCAAAAAAGGGTCTGGGACTGGACTAGACAGCATGGAGTCTTATTACCTATTAATTATATAGCCACATATTGATCCCAAATAGGTAAA